GTCATCAGTGTGAATCCCATAATTGCTACTCTAGTGCCTGTATCCTTTCTAAAACCAAATTGAGAATGACTCAAGTATTTTTCACACTTAGTTATTGTGAATTCGGTTATAAATTATTCGCATAAAAATCTTAGTGGCATGACTTATTAGGGATACAGTTCAATGTTCTAAACGTTGTAAAACAAAAAAGATGTTGTGTACAAGATATAATTGCCTTCCAATAACTAATGGAGTGGCATCCACATCGCCTAAAAAAAGCACGAGGGTATTATTTACAAATACGAGCTTGAATTCCTCTATATTTTTACCACATGTTAAAGCCGTTGTGATTTCCTTAGACTCTATAATCATCTAAGTTCAATTAAAAAACATTTCATTAATTGTGTTATTATCTCATAATAATGAGTGGCCTAATAATTCTTTATTTCTTGGTAGTTAATAACATGCTTCCATAGTAATATAAAAACAGGACCAATATACTATTTTTATTAAGTTCTCAAAATATAAAGATTTCCAAAGTAAATCAAAATAAATGTATTTGTTATATTGAAATTGTAGTTAATTGCCAATAAAAACAGTAAATTAAAAATATATACCTACTTAAAACTAAAGACCAAATTCTAATTGGAACCCAAAAACAATTATTATAAATTTTTCGACATATTTGACGACTAAATCTCATTTTTAAAACATTCCTAACCATTAAACATGATATTAATCATATATGGTATAATGATGATGGATCTCCTTATTGTTTACCGAAAACTATATTGTGGTTGTTCAATTGGTTATTGAACTATTGTAACTTAATACCGCATTAGTGTCAGCAATTCTGAGGTTTAGTTAATTAGTGAGGATGAATTGCAGAAATCAGCAGTCTGAATACTACAACCAATTTACCTGCAAAATGAACTTAGACGTGGATCTTATAAATCATTAATTAGCGCAATAGTTTTTGAAACCTAAAATTGAAGTATTTGGTACAGTTAATGCGATTTCATTAAAGGATTTATTTTAACTAACCAGTTAAAATAGCCGTAACATACAAGTTAATAATTTGAGCTATCTATTTCGTAAAATGCAATATTTTATAATATGGAAAATCCCATTAATTGATAGCATACCATAAATTTCAAAAACCTAGGATGAAGTAAAAAACTTCCAGTGTAAAATGGTATATATTTAAAATCTACTTCGAAAATTTTCTTTTAGTGCTACTTCTATGACCATTCCCATTGTCTTCTAATTCAATATTTCCGTCCTACACCTTGGTTTTTAAACGACTTCCATACTATAATTTTTTAATTCTCTTCCCCCTTACTTTTGTCTCTGATAGTTTACAAATTTGTTCCCTTTATTATTCTGCGTCTATCATATCATATTCTAAATTTCTTTTTACAACTCCTAAATCATCCATTACTCTGTCTGAAGTATTTATCAATATAATAATTAAAATCTTCTAGTTTGTAACCAATTTAACATAACCAATTTAAAATAATAGTTTAACTGGAATTTATTTTTAATCCATACTCTTTACAAACGAGTCCGCATTTTTTATTACCATTAAACATAGTCACTGCCACAACCTGGTTATGGTTATGGTAGATCGATGCAGTGCCCATTTTTGAGTCCTTCAGACACTTAGACTTCCTAAGACTGGTTCATATCATACGAAATAGGCCCATAAGGACTTAATCTTTGACCTTTCTGGATTCCAGCCTGCTCTGGGCTCCAATATCTGCCGTAATAAGCAGTTGTTTCAAATCTGAGCCTTTTCTGTCATTTCTAACAACTGATCTTTTAGTAACCTTGTGGCCTTACAGAAAGCCTCAAGGCTCTTTAAGGATAACTGTCTTATTTCGCTCGCTTGTCATAAACATCGAACTTAGGATCTACTTCCTCCAATAAGCTAGTGTAGGATAATTCCAGAAGGCATGTAAGAAGGTTTCATCCTCCTCATTACAAAGATGACACCGTGGCTCATCCGTCAATCTAAGCAGATAAAAGGCCGTCTAAGTCTACAGTGCCCGGTAAGCATACTAACCACCAGACATTTGCATGGCACCACTATGTGGAGCTATCCTGTCTGATATCTTCACAACTGGCAAAATAGTCCTGGAACCTCCGTAGAAGGCTGCCACAAATTATCATCGTAGACATAAATAACAATAGACTAGGCGGGATCTGTAAAAATTCAGACCATAATGGACATTTTCATTAGGAAGCTATTTTTTTGTTGGAATCGCTTCAGGATAGGCCCAATATCGATAATCACGATATGCGCCAGTCAAAAACCCTGTGCTAAATTTTTTATTTAACAAAATCCGAAAACAATTGAAAATTTCTAATTTTTTTGCTCCTATTTTCGTTTATAATTCGGAAAATATTGATCCTAGGGAAAAAATTATAAGAAGTTAAAAGTTTCGTTATTCAATTTTAATATGTCGTTAGCTAGAAATTAAAAATTTAATGGTTATTGTTGAAAAAATAGCAATAATTGGAAAAAAAAGTACAAAAAAATTAAGTTCATGCTTTAAATGTTTTCGACTTTTTAAACTTGACTTACAAGCTCCATATTCCGCCTAGAAAAACTTTTTAATATGTTTAAAACGTGTGCTAAATTTTTTTAAGATCGGTCGGATAGCTTTTGCATAATAATTTTGCAATCCAGCCTACTGAAAAAAAATAGCAAATTTTCAAATTTATAGTAGGCCCTAAATAAGGCCCTCAGATAGTTGCAATTTTTTTTTACATATAAAAAAGGCTCAAACTTCCAATCGCTTTTTGTAAAATTCAAATCGGTTCACTAGGAGAGCCTAGAAATTTTTTTAAAGTTTTAAACATTTTTAGACTTATAAACAAATTGAATAACTTTACGAGCTTTAAACATATCATTTTCAAATCAAAATATATTCTAAAATCAAATAATTTCATTATTATGATAAAACTGAAGAAATTAATTATTGTAAAAAGTTTGATTTTTACAAAAAAAAAAAAAATTCGTTCGCCTTTGTTTTAACAATTCAAATCATTACTGTTATTATATATTGTTACTTTTAGTAAACAAATATGTATTTAAAAATTGTTAATAAATAATGTAAATTGTTAAAACAAAGGCGAACGAATTGTTTTTGTTTTTTTAAAAATCAAACTTTTTAAAATAATTAATTACTGCAGTTTTATCATAATAATGACATTATTTGATTTGAGAATATATTTTGATTCGAAAATGATATGTTTAAAGCTCGTAAAGTTATACAATTTGTTTATAAGTCTAAAAAATGTTTAAAACTTTAAAAAATTTTCTAGGCTCTCTAGTGAACCGATTTGAATTTTACGAAAAGCGTTTGAAAGTTTGAGTTTTCCTTTAGACGTAAAAAAATTTGCAACTATCTGAGAGCCTTATTAAGGACCTACTATAAATTTGAAAATTTGCGATTTTTTTCCGGTAGGCTGGATTGCACAATTATTATGCAAAACCTACCCGACCGATCTTAACAAAATTTAGCACACGTTTTAAACATATCAAAAAGTTTTTCTAGACGAAATATGGAGCTTGTAAGTCAAGTTTAGAAAGTCAAAAACATTTAAAGGATTAACTTAATTTTTTTGTACTTTTTTTCCAATTATTGCTATTTTTTCAACAATAAACAATAAATTTTCAATTTCTAGCTAACGACATATTAAAATTGAATAACGAAACTTTTAACTTCTTATTTTATTTCTAATTTTATAAAATATTCAATTGTTTTCAGATTTTGTTAACTAAAAAATTTAGCACAGGGTTTGCGACTGGCGCATATCGTAATTATCGATATTGGCCACATCCTGAAGGGATTCCAGCAAAAAAATAGCTTCCTGTGCAAAATGTCCAATCCAAAACAGATCCCGTCTAGACTGCAACTACAACTAACAACAGCAGTAGCCTAATTGTCTTATTTCATATTTTAAAAAATATTCAATTATAAGTGACTACACATTTCTCATAACATTCCAATACACTTGACTATTTATTGTTCCCACATAATTACACGTATTTTACATATAGATGTACGTTTACAGTTTTCTCTACATAGGTAACCAACCATACAATATAAAAAATCTAGTGGAAAATCTATTTCTTCACTCATATATAAATACATAATCTAGTTCATAAGTGTCAATGTATTGCACTGATATATTTGTGCATACCAATTCAGCTGACTACATGACGTCATTGCTCAAATGCCTGATATTATCCTAATTATTAACTTGTCTACTAACTAACTATAAAATTTTTTTTAAAAATATAACCGTAGTTCTCAAATAAGTTTAAGTTCTTTTGCATTCCAAATGCATTCCAAAATTTATTGCACTTTTTTAGTGACTAGTTTTAATTGCTAAAGATGTACTTAAGTATTTACCACATGCTTTTAGTCTAATAGTCAACATTTAATCACTTTGTATTAATTATTAACGTGGAAATTCGTGCTTGTAAGTTTTCACTGATTATGGTCTAGGACAGGGGTCGGCAACCTTTTGAGTCGGAAGAGCCAAAAATTACAATTTACAAAATTTTAAAGTTTTTAAAGAGCCACAAATTTTTTTTTGTCAACAATAAATAGTACTTGCATAAATAAAGTTCTTTGATATAAAAATTATTCTATTTATTTACATGTATGTATATAGTGTGTTTCACATATATATTTTCATACATTTCATGAATTGAAGTAAAAAATTAAAACAACTAAATATTCACTTATAACAATAACTTGCACTTCAATAACAAACAGCTGAGCAAATAATCTCAATGGGAGCGTTGGCTTTGCATGGTTTTAGAAAGTTTGGATAAATCTGGCTCATAACTTGTTGTTTTAAGTTTGAAACATGTCTCTAAATTTTTATTTGTTATTTGGCTTTTAGTTTACTTTTAATTATATTCATGCAAGAGAACGCTTGCTTGCAAGAATATGTCGATCCGAAGATAGTTAGTACTCCAACTGCCAACTTCTTCATCTCACTGTAGCAATCTGCAAGACTATTCCATGCGTCCAATATAAGTTCTGCAAATTTCCCATTCCACAAAGCTTTACTTTTTAAATCGATCAATTGCATTTCTAAAGATCCAGTATGAATTTCACTTGGCTCAACATACATTTCGTTACCAATTGTGTTGAGAGCATTTTCTATTAATGCTAAAGTAGTTTAGTTGGTTTTGAATTGTTTAAATCTGTCAGCAAATTCATCTTTAATTTTTTTTGTAACTGTGCTGAAGTAAGTCGTGTCAACAGTTGCACTGGTTTTGTCACGATATTGCTGTAGAAATTGAAAATGAAGTAATTTACCACTCTGAATATCTTCCTCTACTTCTTCATGTACCATGTCGTTTCAGAAGGTTGGTTATCATCATAGCTATTTTAATTTTATTCACTGCCACCCCAAATAGCATGCTTGTATCAACACCATAACAATCTCGTAAGTTCTTTAACCATGAGGTTCTTCTTCGTCCTGGACTGCGTTTGCCTGGTATTTTTCCTTGCATGATATTTTGTAGCAACCTATATTTGAGAACTCTCATTACATGTCCGAAATGCTCCAGTTTTCTCTGCTTGATGCTTTTTATGATCTCAGTAGTCTTGCTGAGATGTTCTAGTATTGTGGAGTTTCGAATCTTTTTCACCCAGAAAACTTTTAGAATTCTTCTATAGCACCACATTTCGAAAGCCTCAAGGCGATTTAGATTGATTTTAATCACAATCTAGGACTCGACAGCATAAAGTAAGACTGAGAACACGTAGCAGCGAAGTACGTTTGTTTACTTATTACGAGTATTTTTACGAGTATATCTTCTGCAAAAAGAATTAGTTTTTCTTTCAAACAAACCAATCCTTCCACCAAAACATAGACTGAGTTTCACTTTCCTTGCAGTTTTAGATTCAGCTCATTTAATTTTACTGTGATATTCACCATAAAGCAAAATTTTTGCAACCATTTGTCGTTCCCTAATTCAGGGTGATTAATGCCTTTTTCATTTAGGAATGTATTTATTTCATTCAAGCATAAAGCAAAATGTTTTAACAGCTTTATTATATTATAACACTTTATTATGAAGAAGAAGGTAGGAATACTGAGCCTCCATTTCGTTAAGAATTCTTAAACTGACGATGGTAGAGTGCTTTTGACAAGATGCTATTAACAATCTTGATCAATCACCAAATTCATGACCTTAACTATTTCGGCTGGAAATGTTTGAGCACAAAGCGATTCTTGGTGTATTATGCAGTGAAACGTAAGAATTTTGTGGTTTAATTTGCTTTGAAGATTCGTTTAAGAACAGTCTTAGAAGAATCTGTCATACTTCTGGCTCCATCAGTTGCTATTGAAACGATTTTATTTAAATATCATTGTTTTCAAGGCATTTTTGCACGGCATGCGCTATCTCTTCCCCTCTAGTTTGTCCCGAGAGCGGTAGCAATCCCACAAGTTCTTCTTTAAAACCTTGGAAAGACATATACCTGACAAAAAGGGCAACTTAAGCCGTGTCGTTTTACATCGCAAGACTCATCTATAGCAAGCGATAAGCCGGAAGAAAGTTGAATATCTTCCACCTGCAAATATGTTATATATGAAGACATTTGAGACGACATGAGACCACTCACAGGACATAAGATGTATAGAAAAGGATAGAGCTGTCTTCAATCGCATTAGAAAGATTTTATGTAATATGCACCTAAACATTGATATAAAAACACGAGTCTTGAGATGCTATGTATTTTCTACCCTTTTATATAGAGTCGAAGCCTGGACCTTGACGGAGGCAACGTTCAAACAATTAGAAGCCTTCGAAATGTGCTTCATGCTCCAAGCATGCGGCGGTGCTACCGCCGCATGCTTGGAATTTCCTATATTCATCATATTACAAACAACACTGTGATCCAACGTATGAATAAATATCTGGAAATTATGCATATCGTAAAAATCACAAAGATGACATACTTAGAGCATGTGATGCGCAATAAGAAGTATCAACTAATTTTACAAGACAAGATAGAAGGCAAAAGATTTTAAGGGCGCAGAAGGACATCTTGGTTGAAGAATAGCAGACAGTGGGCAGGAATGACTACCATACATATATTTAGAGCAGCTGTCAACCAAGTTTTATAGACCAACATGATTGCCAATATCCAAAGAGGATAGGCACCAAAAGAGAAAGAAAAAAAAGATGACATCTGTCGAAAATGGTCTCCATTTCGACATAAAATTGATATTTGACATAATATTTCTTTGTATTCGGTTGGAGCGTGTATATTTATGAGTTTTATGTTAAAAAATTACCTCCTATTCTTAGATAAAATATTCGTCGGCTTATTGGTTTAAGTCCATAATAAGATTTATATTAAGACGTTTTTCTTTTTTTTTTTTTAACATGAATGCGGTACCGGATTCATAATCTGGGTTATCACAGCTGTAATATATACATAGTATTGTCTAATTTGGATAATTTCTTGGCCAGTCTATCTCACTTCTTGACAACAGTAGTATGCGCTTTATATTGATTTAGTATGTCTATCAATTTTTTAAGATTTCCGGGTTCATAAAGTAGTGTCCGCACATTCCTAATATTTGTAGTTAAATTAATATGCATATTTTTACTCAAACACATTCCATTCATAAAGAAAAACAACCATTACAACATCCTGTATGTATGGCCACGGATATATTAAGCTCAGTTTTTCTCCAAGACCAGCAAACTCAACTATCTCATGTATATCATAAATTCTTTGGTTTAATTAAATCTTGCACAAGACTCAGAAATATTAAATTTTTCAAGGGTTGCGGAAAATATGCAGAGGAGAATTTTTGTGTAGAAGGAGCATAGTTAGTAACGTTTTCAAAGTTAATTAACAAACTAGGTGGAAAGTATGGTAGGACATTCATGTATAGAAAATTATTAAGAAAAATGTACGCCTGCTAATAACTAAATTAATTTTAAGAAATTTTAGTGCAATTAAGTTTTAATTAAAAAAAAATAAGATAGAAATGTCTCTTTTACTTTTATTACTTAAATTGGAGTAAATAAGCAAACTACAAAGTTAGGCTTTATTAAAAGAACAAAATCCTTTACAGAATCTCTTCAAATGAGATTTCTCAAATTCCAGTTAAGCTGTTTTAAATCATAATCCAAAAATACATACTTTTAAACACAATTCATAACTATCATTTTAATATTTAAAAGTCTATTTTTATACATCATTAATAAAATTTGTTTACTATACAGGGTGGTCCTTAAGTAGTTGTACAAAAAGAAACCGCAGATTCTATACTTTAAAATATTACGAATTAAGGCAACTTGTTTTAATAAAATGTTGATATTAAAAAAGATACAGGGTGTTAAAGTGGAAATTTAAAATTTTATCTTTCGCTATAACTTTCATGTTTGTAAACATTTATATACAAAAATTTACAGCTGGGTACTAATTAATATCTGGAATTATAATTTGATGAATACTTTGATATAGCTAATAGAGGGCGCCACATATGCCACACACCTAGCATAAATTTGCACTTAACTTTTTTGTTCTTTAAGTTACCGGTATTTAAAATAAAAAATATTTAAGATACATTATTTAAAAAAAAAAAAAAGGTATACTTATTAATAACTTCAAAACTTAATAGTTTTCGAGATAATTGCATTTTACAAATCAACTGCATAATTCTGATTTAACGCAATTTCTCCAGGCAATGAAAGAAAAATAGATACAAACATCAATTATTCTGTATTTTAATATAAAATACCTTAATAAAGTCAATAATTAACGAAATATTAAATAACATAAATATATCAGCAGGATAATTAATAATAGAATTTGATAAAATAACAGAATAATTGGATTTTACATCAAACATTTTATTTTAATTTGCATTAAATTAAAGTCAAAATCAAAACATTTTATTTACAAACCGAATTAAGAAATAGTTAAACTAAATAACATTAAACTTTTTGTCAAAGTAAGTGTTCACTATGTCCACCATTTTCTTTAATTCATTCATCAATACATTCCATAAAATATCGTCTCATATTAAATAGTGTCATTGGTTCTAAAGAAACTGCTGCAGTATTTATTATAATAAGTGTTATAAGTATATATATATTATATTTATTATTATATATTATAATAAGTGTTATAAGTATAAAGGGCCCGCGTAGCGCAAGCGGTAGTGTGCTTGCCTCGCATGCCGGTGGTCGTGAGTTCGAATCCTACCGCCGGCAAGAACAACTAGGCATTTTAAAAATGTCTATAGGCCCCAGGTCGACTCAGCCTGAATAAAATGAGTACCTTGGGTAAAACCAGGGGTAATAATAGGCGGTTGAAGCGTAGCACTGGCCATGTTACCTTCCTTGTATACCGTAGGCCCTAGATATAGCAGACTACCCTGCTATACTCCCAAAGCCGCGTGCGGTATAAAACGGGAGACTATTATTATTTGTTATAAGTATAATAATAAGTAATTTTTTTAAATGTTTATGAATTAAATAATTATATTAATATCTCACCACAAGAATATGACTACCATGAACAATCCAACGTTCAGGAAAGTTTGAAGAAGTATTTAAATACTGTCTCACTCCGCTTTCTCTGTAATGTAGTGGTGTACCATCTTGTAGAAACCACATATTTCGCCTTAAGTTTGATGACAATTCTTTCAATAAATCAATAAAATCATTTTGTAAACAATGTAGATAAATCTCACCATTCAAATTGAAAGGTAATTCGCATATCCATAAAACATCATTCAAAATTGATATTTAAAATGCATGTCCTATGGTTTGGAACCATTGATAATTATATTTAACGGATATGCGAATTATCTTGCAATTTGAATAAAGAGATTTATTTACATTTTTTATAAAATGATTTTATTGATATATTATACTTATAACACTTATAATAAATACTGCAGCAGTTTCTTCAGAACCAATGACGCTATTTAATATGAGATGATATTTTATGGTATGTATTGACAAATGAATTAAAGAAAATGATGGACATAGTGAACACTTACTTTGACAAAAAGTTTAACTTTATTTACTTTATATATTTCTTAATTTGGTTTGTAAATAAAATGTTTTGATTATGACTTTAATTTAATACAAA